GATTACAGTGAAGCCAATGGAATTGTAATCAAAGGGAACATTAACTACACAGCATATAATACATCCAACCTACAGTTCACCAGGTACGTCATTATATTAATAAATAAACAAGTCACATCTCGCGCTATTGTCGATCGGGCACCCTTACGCTCTTTCGAACTGATCCCTCGACATCGTACATGCCTGCTAGCACAAACAGGGCACACTTACGCTCTCTCGTTACTAACCCTTGACATCGTACAGGCCCGCTAGCACAAACAGGGCACACTAGCACTCTTCCGAAGAACACTTCGGAACCGTACAGGCCCTGAACAGCTGACTCAAGAGTCACTGTGGTTAACACACATTGGTTACACAAGAATAACACAGATCGACTAATAGACTCTATAAATACAGATTATTAAATCCTTCACGAATTAGAAATCTTACCTTTAATTTTTTTTACCTGTGACTAGATTCTACTGCTGTCCCCTTTACATAATTAAAGACATAATTGATTACATAATAAATTCCATTAAAGATCTGACACCACATCGAGTATAGCTATTCATCAATCAAGCATACTTGATTCAACTACCATCTTCTCATGCTGCCTCACAAGCATGATTGACTGACGACATCAGCTGACATTGACAACATCAGCATAACCTCAAAGCAGCACAGTAATATCCATTGAAGCCTTCATAGCATAAGAATCACAAGAACGCATCATTTGAATAATCCAACAGAATTATTTATTTCTACACAACAGTGCAATATTATAATAATTGTTTACAATCATTAACCTTGTTTTTAATAAATATATTATATTTTTCAGCCTTGTATGTTATTGATTTCCTTTAAAATTATCCTGCCGAGAGACTAATCCACTGAACTTATTGAATTGGTAGTTCGAGCCATAAGCTAATCCTTTAAAATCGAACAGACTACATTACTTAAGTTTATTATATAAGATAGGTACATGGGTCTCCGAGCACAAATAGTAAATATAAGAAAGAGTATTAATATAAAATTAATTTACATATTTTTTCTACAAAATGATCATCTTGCTTAATTAATAATATTATTTACCATCTTCGTCCACTTCCGCAATAATCTCTTGTAATGTAGACTCGGTTAAATCATATCCTAACATACTTAAAATCGTTCCAACCATATCTGTTCCGATACATCCTTTCTTTTCATGATCAAATGCATTGAAAGCTTTTTTCAATACTGGAAAAAATTTTTATATTTATGTAATTTTAAAAGTCCGTCTTTTATCTATTGTATTTTATATTATATATATCATATATATTTATTACTTATAAGTCGTAAAATTGATTAGTATTTCTATTCAACGATATTAACTCATATCAAAACTTATCTTAATTTCATACATATTGCTATATTATTAATTTATATTTATAAATGTCCATTTATTTTTGAAAGTTCATTTTTGATGAGGCTAATCATTATTTGTAGAGAATAAATTATTTTTCCCGAAATTGAATTGTGATTACTTTCCCACAATCATTACATTACTTTTCATTAAAAATTTATAAATATTTTATCAGTTTGAAAAATAAAAATTTGTATTGTAAAAATATATTAAATAATGGACTAATATTTTTAATATTGACAATACCTAATTATTAATAAGTATTAGCGCATCGTTATTTTTTTATTCTTTACTATTTATTTTTCGTAGATAAGTCACTCATTTGTTTATATCCACATAATTAGAATTATTTTTAATAGCAGATTAATATTTAAATATTTTATATAAACTATGAAACTGGTTTATAAGGATTATGTTTCCAAATTCTTTATCGTGTATTATTATATTACATATTTATGAAAGAAAATATTTTATTATAAAAATAAAATTAGTTAGATGAATTTAGTTACAATTATAATGCATAGTTTTATGAACTATCTCTATTTCTGAATTGTTTCATTGGTTAAACTAAATTATAAAGTATTTATTTATATTTATAATAATATGGTAAGAAGTAGTAAAATGTTCAATTATTTTCAATCAAGTGGAAATAAAAAATGCGGTTACAGAATCCTTTTTAATTTATAAAGTTACAAAAAGAAAATAATTAATAATTAATATTACAAGCTTTATGAGCGATAAAGTTCATCAGTCAGAGTAATGTACTTTGAAATATTTATTTATATTTACAAATATAGATGTAATATTCCAAATTATAATAGTGATATAATATTCCAAAATATAACGGAAAATACTGTTAATAAATTTTTAATTCAAGATATTACTAAGCACAAAAATATTATGAAAATTTCTATTCGAATCAAATAAAACTTTTTAAAATAAAAAAATTTACAATAAAATAATTATAATATAACTTCAAAACAATAAATATAATTTAATAGTATAAAGTTATGTAATAATATAATATTATTTCTGAGAAATATTTATCTGGTATACATCATATTTAAACTTATATTAATTAATAACATACTAATAATTCTTCATAAAATAACTTCGGATATCTACAAATTCTACTGTTTTTTAATATATTCATAAACAATTATCAAAATGAAAATAACAAATTATTCTATTGATAATTGTCAATATCAAAATAAAAACTTTTATCTTAAATCATCTGAATATATAATAATATATGAAATATATTTATGAATATCTTTTAAATTATAATAGACTATTCATATAAGGAATAATATTAAGATTAAACTTTTATGATTTTAAAGATATATCCCAAATATTTCATCTTATAAAAGTTCCTAAATATTTTAAAAAGTATTATTGTATATAAACATATATCTGATGAAAAGTAAAATAAATAATAAAAATACAATAACAATTTTGTTACATGTCTAATATTCAATTCGAAAAATGGTCGATGACAATAATGGCCATTTTTAGAAAGTTGAGATGTTTTGTTTTATATAAAAATATAATCAAAATAATTCAACAAATCTTTTGTATCAAGAAAGTTTTTTATTACAATCTTGTTATGATAAACTATACTTACGTGCAATTTGATCTTTTGTAAGGTCATCCTGCAATATAAATATATCATTTTAATAAATTTGATTACACAATAATTTTATTAGATCATTTACATTAATATATTTATTAGAGAATAATATAGAGTATTGTTGCGAAAATTACTGACTCAATCTTTCTACACACTTCCATATATCCCCCTCAACCACGTCTTTCTATAATTATGTGATAATATGAAATAAAAAATGTTGTTATCTTTTATCATTTATCAAAATATAAGATAAGATTATTATCAGTGAAATATATTTAAGTTTATCTTTCAAATTATATACAAATGCATATGGAATGAAATTTTGATAAATACCTTATATATTAATTTATTACATTTAAGACCTAATTTATATTTTGAGTGGCTTTGTTCACAAAATCTATCTAAACACTATGGTTTATTTGTTATTAAATTTTTAAATAAATAATTATGGTGTCTAATACAACAATTATTTTATAATTTTAAATAATAAATTGTTTATAAATATAGATATTAATAATGAAAATATTTTTAAAAAATTGATTTTTATTCTTATCGTAATAGATTAATTTTGTTAAAAAAATAATAACTAAAAAAACTATCCATTCATCAAATATTTTTAGAAATGTCGAAATCAACAAGCATTATATATATATATATATATATATATCAATCAATTTATAGCTAGGATTGATTATTAATGTCTCATAAATGACAGCTGATTTATATTTTTGAAATGCAACTTAATTCATAAATTTGATTCAAACTTAAAGACAAAAATCTCTCAATTAGATTTGTACGTTAATTAAATAATTATTGACTTTAAAACAATACTCTTTTAGTTAAACAGTTGCTATTTTATATTGATCGAATAAAAAAATTATCACTTACGTTAATTTGAATAGATTAGTTCGCTCAAAATACATAATTTTATTTATTTTATAATTTTACTTAAATATTAATTTAAAAGATGAATAATTGTTAATTATATAAAAAATCATGTTTTTCATTATTTATTATAGTTTTTACAAATCTCAGTGCTTACGTATAGTGCTGCTTGCTTCTTTTAATATTAATTTTTTGTACGAGAGACATTCGTATATAAAATTTTGTGAGAATCGATTTTTGTTCTTTAAATATTTATTTTTATAACTATAATTCTAGTTTATAATGTGTAATAGTAATAAATTATAGTTTTCAAAATACTTTTATCTTCATGTAAATATGAAATGTCTTTTTCCTGAAAGTAATACGCTTACATATAAATTGGACTTATCCTCTTGTTACTGATAAAATCAATGTTATTTCTTAATATTATTTATATTTAAAATACTATTAATATGTTGCTTGCTTTATCCAATAGAATAAATAAACAAATGAGAGAGAGAGAGAGAGAGAGAGAGAGAAGAGTGTGAGAAAGTGGGGCATATATAGATATATATTTAAGATATAGATCTATTTTACGTATTTTATATTTATCAGTAATGTATATAGGAAATAAAAACAGTAAATAATAAATTACATTGAATTTTTAGATTTTCAATATTCATAAGTTGAATCATTTTTGTATAAATGGGATAAAGTAAGTATATAGAAACTTAATATAATTATCAACATAATCAATGTGTAATAAATATTGCAATAAATTAAAAAAATAATGCATATAAGTTTACAGATGTATTTCTTTTTCTGAATTAGTCTATAATGCTTTAACAAATTTTATTTAGATAAGTTATCATAATGAAACCAATTTCACAAAGAAAAAAAATTCTTGACAAATTTAATTAAAAATAGATATTATTTTCAACAATGTATAATAGACATACAATCATTGTATAAATATGTAAATTATGTATTTACCTATAAAATAAGCAATTTAAAGGATATTGTGGTTTTAATCGAAGATTCCGTTTTTATTAAGAAAATTTGTAATATATTTAGTAATATCAGTATTTTTTTTGTTATTTTTGAAACAACTTTTGTATAATGTGTAACAGTTGCTATAGTGGTTTCCAATAAGTAGTACGAAAACAAATAAATGTATGTTTATCATAATACAATATCTTACTGAAAATATACAACGCATAAAATTTTTATGTGAAGAATACTAAAATAATGGTGTAAGAATGCTGTAATAACTTTTATTCAAATAAAAAGTAAAATAAAATATCAATGTTTTTTAATTAAATAAGATCTAATAACAATATAGTATTGAATATTATCAATCGTTCCCTACCTCATCGATATGCGAACTCAATAATACATTAATAATATATTAAGAATAATAATAAGTAGCTCAAGCAATAATATTAATGGTATTTTTAATAACTGTAAAAACATATTATATACCATTCAAGTTTATTACTTGATATATTATGCAGATCACAGCAATTAATTTTATGGAATGGTTTTTTTATACTTATAATTATATAATAACTTTATAACATACTTTAATTTAATAAATAAACATTAGAATCAAAATAATTTATAGAAATAAAACAATTTGTAGAGTATTTAAATAAAGTAATACTATTAAATAATTAAATTATACAACTAATTCGCTCATACATAATTCTTATAATACATATACTTTTTTTAATTATTTATATTTCTTGTATGTTTATATTTACTTACTATCTACCTATCATATTGAGACTTAAATTAATTGTTTGTTTTAAGTTTAAATTAGTTTTACGTTTTTTGTAATTATGGTTTTCCAATTGCTATTAAAATTCATTTATTATAATATAGACCATTTTCAAAAAATAATATCTTTTACATAAATTTACTTATTAATTTTGAAGACCTATTATAATATATAGTTTATTGATTAACAATTTATCAGCGTTTTTGAGCTTTGCATGAATTATTATTTAATCAACAATAAATGAAGAGAATATTCAACAAATGTCTGAAATGCGAAGAAGTATACATAAATGATTAGATTTTTAATAATATTGATTTTTTAAGTAACACATTTATTTGTAAAACTTATTTTTTAATTATATATGCTATGGTACATTTCGAATAAACTATATAATATAATTTAATTATTAATTAATCTATCAATATAATTATATTTATCAACATACCTATAAATTATATAATCATCAATGAATTAAAATGAATAAATATATAAGTTTTATTGTAGTCCTTATTTTTTTAAGTAAATAAAAAAAATATAAATTTAAAAATTAAAATTTATAAAATAGTATATTATCTCTGATAATCAACAATGAAGAAAATACATTCCTGGAAGGTTCATTCAACTTAACAATTTGACCGACGATTACTAATTTTTTAAATATTGATTTTATTATATAATTAGTCATTTAAATTATAAGTTTGAAAAGAGTATTCGTTTTTAAATAAAACTTAAAAATAAATTAATAAAATTATAATAATTATTTTTTGTACCAAGTGTGCATATTGTTAATATTAATTTAAAGTATTTATATAATAAATTATATAGATCTATGCACGTTAATTGATACAAAAGAGTTCAATCCCTGAATAAAATTGCCTTTTTTTAAATACATTTTTCAATTTAAATTCATCGTTTGTGAAACGCAGACACTGTACACATTCAAATATACAAAGTATGTAAAACAAGAAAAAATATGTTTCATGATCAAAATGAGAAAATTAAATACAAAAATTCTTTTACATTTTTTATATAACTGTTAATTTTTAAAGAAATGTAAGTCGTTTAATATTTATAATATACTGCAGTATAAAAGTTTGCATGGATTTATATTTTAATCATTGTATATTTCAGGACATGCACGATTTTTAAATACACATTATTAAGAATAGCATAAAATAACGATAGATAGTAAATTTCAAAAACTAATATTAAAAAATATGTTAATAATTTCTTGATAACTTACCATTCTCAAATATGGTTCTAGTTTAGAAATATATGTATTTATACCAATTGAAACAGAACACTAATGAAAACTAAAGTACATTATTGAATGCACTACATAATTTCTAAGAATGGTTAAGAAATAATGAGATATAGCAGTTTATAAGTTTTCTAAAAATATATTCGTCGATTAGAAATTTACTATATAGTTAAATAATTTCAATGACTACAATAAGTAATGTCAAATATTCTTTATATTCTAAATTTTATATTATTTTAAAAAGTTATTATGTTATCAACATTATTTTAATAGATAAGTTTTCAAATTTATTATTTAAGATTTATTGAAACTAATTATAAATTTCTAAAATAATACTCAATATTAAAAATCTATACATATTTATGTATATATCTCTATGTAAATATAATATAATTATAATGAAATAAAGCAAAACTGTTTTAAAAAAATATTTAAACGGTATTCAATCATACATATTTTTTACACATATATTTAAATAAATAAATGGTAATTCACGTTTAAATGTGACTTGATTTTTTAATCTAATGCTGTCTAGTGATCTACATTAAGAAATTATCTAATTTAGGAATTATTTCATGCACTAAATATAATCAATAAAACTGTATGGTTATTTTTGGTTAAATATATAAATATACCATATGATCCTTGTGTAATGAAATATAAAAATCATTAAATTCAATTATGTACTAAATAAGTTAAATCATTCACTAAATACTTATTATAATCTTTATATAATTTTGAATTCATTTTTTTTCAGACGATTTAATATAAAAGTATATGATTTATTATTTTCATTTTTAAAATCAGAGAAAAATCAAAAATATTTTATTATTAGCATGAGACGGTAAGAGAAAATAAAATGATTATCTTTTAGAAACTAGTATTGCATTGTCATTTAATTTAATCAATTAATAATCAAAATATATTGCTATTAAATTAAATTTTTTTTTACGTTTTAGAAATTTACTTTTCAATGTACACATATATAAATAATTTTACTTAAATTTAAATTTATTTAAATTGGGAAAAATTATATCAATATATTAAGTCTATAAATTCTTTTAACATTTAAAAAATATATATTATTCAGTACATAATAAATGCGACTAATCTTCAT